ATAAATCAGTATTATAATAACCTCCTCAGAGGATAATCTTTATGAGAAAGGAGAGCACATCATCTTTGTTCAACCATGTATGTATCCCTTGTGGCTAGTATACATGGTACCTGGTGATCATTCAGTCCATATGTGTTCAAAAGGTGAATAGGTTAATTTAGGAGAATAATTAAAAGATCACTTCAGGACAAAATAAATTTTTGAGAGCATGTAGAAATAACCACCAGACAATTAGAAATAAAGAACTGAATCTTGCGAGTTTGTCAAACTGAATTGATCTAAAGCTTACTGGATGTTTTCAAATATGCTTAGCTCTAGGGAATTAAAAAAAATAATAAGATACTGTTTCTCACCTTTGATGTGTTAATGGTTTAATAGATTAGAAATCCAAATTTTAGACTGTTTTCCTAGATAGGAGTAATCATTTGATCAGCTCTTCAAGGAAAGGAATGCACAGAAAAAAGAAGTTTTATTTTTTTTTTTTAAGATTTTCTTTTTTAAGCTCTACCCCAACATGGGGTTCAAAGTCATGACTCCAAGATCAAAAGTCACTTGCTCTACCAACTGAGCCACCCAGGCACCCAAGACAGAAGTTTTAGATCAGATCTGAGAGCACCTATTTAATGGGTGAAAGGAAGAAGCAGCTAAATAAGAAACAGACAAAGGCTTTTCAGAGAGGTCAGGAGAATGAAGGGAATGTAATGTCACAGAAGCCAGCAAAAGTGAAAGTTTCAGTGTGTACACTATTGAGAAGGCAGCTTACTGAAAAGAAGGCTACTGGTGAGCCAGAAAATGTTAGCAGTAAAAATGGATGCTAGAAGAAGAAGGTCAAGAAACTAAAGACATAAAATGTAAGTTACCCTTTTAAGATACTTGGCAATGAAAGAAAAGACCCGGAAGAAAAGGACAATTAATTTAAAAATCAAGGGAAAGTACCTGCCATTTAGAATCATGCAAAACTGACTTTTTTCCAGCATAGAAGGGATTAAGTACAGAAAAATTGGCAATCACCTTCCTTTTGGCTACTTGTGCTCTTTGCATATTTCCCTTGTTGTCCAAATCACACCACAGTATAATTCGGCCTGTATTTTTGTCTCGCCTTCTTGACGGCACCCCTTGACTACCTCAATTCTCTTTTGTGTCCCTAGCTCCTGGCACATCAGGGACACTCAAAATCTTGTAGAGCTTGAACTGCAAATTCAAGACACAAGAGGATCAATTGAAGGAGCATGGTCCTAAAGGAAGCAGGAAAGTTTAAGTGGAGGAGAAAGCCTTGGGGGAGGAAAAAAGGACACATCTGCCTTTGAGACAAGGGGAGAGAACCAGATCTGAGAAGTAGAGGCGAGGTGGCGAACAGAGAGGAGGGAAACTGAGGAAATCCCATCAGATGAACAAGATCTGGTTAAATAGAATTGGTCTCCTGAAAGGTACAGGAGGGAAAACCAAGGAGAATGGAGCCCATTTGTAAAAAAGCTAGAGAAAATGGGATGAGAATTAAAAGGACCAAGCTAGAACTGCTATTCTCACTAATACGCACTCACTAATAATACTTAGTTTAGTCGTTCTCAATCCTAAATGCATATTAGAATCACCTGGAAACACTTTTTTTTTTTTTTAAGATTTTATTTATTTATTTGACAGAGAGAGAGAGAGTCAGAGCAGAACACAAGCAGGGAGAGATGCGATACGGGATGACCTGAGCCAAAGGCAGATGCTTAACCAACTGAGCCACCCAGGCACCCCTGGAAACACTTTTTAAAAAAATAATTTATTTTCCTGCCTGCAGAAATTCTAATTTAAGAAATCTGGATAAGACTCTGGCATTTTTAAAACCCTCAAGTATCGATAAAGTGCAGCCAAAGATCAAAACCTCTGGATTGGTAGAACTTTGGTATTTAGGGGCGCCTGGGTGGCTCAGTCGTTAAGCATCTGCCTTCGGCTCAAGTCATGATCCCAGGGTCACGATCCCAGAGTCCTGCTCTGCCGGAGGCCTGCTTCTCCCTCTCGCACTCTCCTTGCTTGTGTTCCTGCTCTGGCTATCTCTCTCTCTGTCAAATAAATAAAATCTTTACAAAAAAAACTTTGGTATTTAAATGGAAAGCACTTAGCATCAATTATTGGTCTGTCTGGATTTCAAAGAGAGGAAAAAACAACAGGATACAGGTAATGTCACATCTATAAAGACAGTGAATGGGATAATTCTACATACTAAAGTTCATTGACTCTATACTTTAACTGTGATGAAAGAAATTATCAGTAATGGTGCTGATTTCTCTCTACAGTCTCACAGACTTCTATGCAGGCAAGTCATCCTTAATGGTATTTCTCTCTGTGTGTCTCTGTCTCTGTCTCTGTCTCTGCCTTTCTTTCTGTCTCTCTCTTTCAAGTTATAGGTTGGAGCCCCTTTGCTGATCTGAAAGCGGTTTGTTATTTTATGCAAATTAAAATGCAAAACTTAACCTATTCCTATAGAGTACCAGATAGCTCAGGTCCAGCAATGGAAAGATCTCTGTTTATTGATATTTTTACTACCATCACTGACACAAATAAAATCACTTCACTTCACACAGTCCTACTGTATAAAGGTATAATCACATCATCAATGAGTGGAAATGAGCTTGCATTTACTTGACAAACTGATTAGAGGAGACTGAATGCACTGTGTTAAGGATAATATATCTGGCAAAGAAAGGAAAACACTCTAAATAAAACACCAGATTCTATCTAGTCTGACATAATGGGAATAAAGTCCACCATAAACAGAAACATGCAACCTATTCTTGGAAATTTTTATTTCTTCTATTTTGTTTAATTATATACTAATAAGCAACCAAAAATGTCTGACACAATTTAATGGTTAGTATTTTTTTCAAAACTATAGTTGACCCTTGAATAATGTGGGGGTTAGGGGCACTGACACCCCATGCAGTCAAAAATCTGCATATAACTTTTGACTCCCCCCCAAACTAAATTCCTAATAGCCTCGTATTGACTAGAAGCCTTACCATTAACATAAACAGTTGATTAACACATATTTTAAATGTTAGATGTGTTATCTACTGTATTTTTACAATAAAGTAAGCTAAAGAAAGGAAAGAAAGTCATAAGAAAAATACACTTTCAGTACTGTATTGTATTTACTGGGAAAAATCCACACATAAATTGACCTGTGCAGTTCAAACATGTGTTGTTCAAAGGTCAACTGTACAAGGCAAGTTTCTTCCATCCAAATTTAGTGGGAAGAATAATAGCTAGCATTTTTTAGCTTCCTATCACATGCCAGACACTGAGCTAAATGTTATTTCATCTAATCCTTACAATATCACCACAAGATAACAGCTACTATTACTCCTATTTAACAAAAGAGAAAATTAAGTTTCAGAAAGAAAAACTTGCCCATAATCACAAAGCCCGTAGATGGTAAAATCACGATGGAACCCAAATCTTTTGGCAAGCCCAAGTACATATAGTTTATGTTATATTACACCTCAGAAATTAAAGTGAAAGCGGGCGCCTGGGTGGCTCAGATGGTTAAGCATCTGCCTTCAGCTCAGGTCATGATCCCAGGGTCCTGGGATTGAGCCCACATCGAGCTCCTGGCTCAGCAGGGAGCCTGCTTCTCCTTCTCCCTCTGCCTCTCTCCCTGCTCATGCTCTATCTCTGTGTCTCAAATGAATAAATAAAATCCTTAAAAAAAAAGATTAAAAATTAAAGTGAAAGCAATTAATGCAAGTCTCTTGATTGCTCTCCAGTGTGCTTTCTCCAGAGAGTCTTCCCTCTTGTGTTCTTACAGACTTTTTGAAATGAAAACTTGCCTGGCTCAGAAAGGGTCCTGGATATTCTTTTGCACAGAACAAGAGAATGCTGATACTCCATAAGGTTTTGTTACTGACTTTCTTTTCTCTTTCTTTCTTTTTTTTTAAAGAATACATTTCAGTCTACTTGCATTACAAGTTATTTGCAGGTATTTTGAGACAAAGTTTGGAGAAGTAGTCGATATAAGCGATATAAGCATATTGAAGGACAAAAGCTACATGGAACTACATAAAAGGGCTCTGCTGTTTAGATTTATGTTACTCTATTGCCATCTTCTGGTTTTATTCTAAAACGCATTTTATAAATGTTAATCTCGTTGTGCAGCTAGGAGAGAATCACCTTCATAGCATTATGCATTAACAGGATGAGAATTCTGGAGGTTGCAACACAGCATGGCTTTAAACTAAGCTCTTCACCTTATCTATGAGTTTACTTACTTGTTAACATATTATTAATTAAACAAATTTCAATGAAACTGGGACTGAGCTGAGTAGCCTGTGATAGAACGGCCATGGTCATTCCATCAGGAAAAACCAGTCTAAAGAAAAAAAAAAAAAAGGCTTAGTTGAAGCCACCCAGGTGTTCCACAGACATATGGCTTCCAGAATTTATCAGCACCCAGTTACATGTATTCTTTAGTGTTATATGAAGCACTTAATTAGCACTATTGGAATAGACATATAAAGCAATACAAGAAAACAATATCTTGCCCTTGTCTACACCCTTCCACTCTTACTAAACCCCACCATTCTGCCCTTTGAACTTTATGCCCAGCATTATTGACACATTGTAGGCAGCTGCACACAAGCTGGAGAATGTTACCTATTATCATACTTAAAACACTACAGCTATAATGCCACACAATAAACTCAAATGTATCTACAGGGCTCATTCCTTCATGAAAAATTTTAAAAAACTGAAGTTGTACAGTCATGCTTTGTGAGACAAACCAGTGAGATGAAGCCGGCTCAGTCCAGACCGGAGCCGACACCACAACCCACATGAAGATGCTCTTACTCAATACAAACAGCAACAACGGTAAATGCACTGAAACTTTCTGGGAGTCCTGGCTAGACTCTGACCGTCCTGGCTAGAGTCTGACCGACCTATCATTCTTTTCATACTACCAGAGAAACAACAGAACTCATCTGCTAATGCCAAAAATTGTAAAGCTCTTAATCCAGTTAAAAATGACTACAACTGAGGACCTTTTCTCTAGCTAGCTGCTTCCCCAATTCAGAACCGTCTAGCAGGTTAATTTCAACATCACAGAAAGTTTCCTCTGGCTGGCCGCACCATGGAGTGGTGACAAGGACAGCTTGAATGTGTTCTGTGCTCAGGCTGCTGGGCCTCCTGACTGCTTGCACCCTTCTGTGCACCTTGGTCCTGAGCATGCTGAGACTCAGCCAGCTGAGGATAAAAGGGACCTACCAGCCAGTTGAGAGGCGTGTTGTTAACAAGATAATCCATCACATCATCTAAAGACTCCCTCGTGTTCTGCAGCTGCCCCTTGCTGGAAATGAGGAGGCCGTCAGACACTTCCTTAAAAGAGGCAGCACTGCAGAACCGTGAGTCAATGTTACCAGCCATCACCCCAAGTGACTGGCCTGATCTTGGATGTTCTGTGGTAACCTTGGATATTGGACCTCAGGGTGTGGCACGTGGTCTGGAGCTGCTGAGTCAGGTTGTGGGCAATAGCAAGACGACGTGACCCAATGTGTTCAGCACAGTGGTATTCATCTGTATCATCGTGGCCAATGCTTCTCTTCCACTCCACCCAGGAGACAGAGAACTTATCCTGAGCACCTTGAATTTTCCGGTTGGCACTATGCACATTCCTCCTGGCAAATTCAATCAGATTAACAGTGGAATGGAGCTGAGAAATGGTCTCTTTGCTTTTTTGCTTGGCTTCCTTAATCCTGTTAGAAGCCTGCTGGTGGGCATGTGAGTGGAGCTTGATAGACAGGGATCCCAGTCTAATGTAATAACTTGGCTTCTGAACCATCTCAAACCCTTCAACTTTTTTTGCTTCTTTTTTCTAGTTCTTTCTCAGTGAGAGGGAGGTACTGGTCCACCAGCAACTCTGATTTGGTGAGCGCATGCTCTATTCTGCTGCTTACCAGCTGCATCATCCCACTTCCCAAGACTGTGTTAATGCTGCCACTGACCATAGACTTGGTCTTCACTACACTGCCAGTGGTGGTGCTGGCCATGGAATCCTTGGCCCCGGTCACAGTAGTGGTCACATCGTCTTTTGCCCTGGTCATAGCACCTCTGGCATTGGCAACAACCTGGTGTGTTGCCTGATTCAGAATAGGCAGTTTCTCTTCAATCCTATCTAGCCCCTTACAAGCAGAGGTACTGGCAACGGCAATTTGTGACTCTAGCTTTGGGATGATGGGCAGAGCACTCGTCACAGCCACGGAAGTGATGGTCTTCACACCCTTCTCTGCCATCTCTCATGCAGACTTCAAGCACAGGTACCGATCCTTTGTACTGATATAAGCCAAGAAGACGAGGTCGGACGTGGAGCTCACCAAGATGGGCTACCCGAGTCACCACACTCAGCTGTGGATCAACGGCAACAGATGCCATTTTTCTCCCTGGAGAAAAAAATCAACCAACAGCAGCCCAGATGCCAAGGTCCAGCGAGTCCCATGCGGTCCAAGTTTTTTTCTTATTTATTTATTGATTGATTTATTTGAGAGACAGTGAGTGCAGGGGGGAGGTGCAGAGGGAGCCAGAAAGAGAAAATCTCAAACAGACTCCCCACTGAGTGCAGAGCGCACCACCCGGGCTTGATTTCAAGACCCCATGATCATGACCTGAGCCGAAATCAAGAGTTGGATGCTTAACTAAGCCCTCCAGGCACTCAAAAGCAACTGAGTTTTTAATATCTACCTCATTTACAGTAAACTTTATGAGATCTTATTTCTAATACTGTCCCAGCATTCCTGTGGATTTTTTCACAAAGGCAATCGTTATCTGCTAATAATAATAACTTTTGTACCTCCTATTCAATCTTTATAACTTTTCTTTCTTTTCCCAATTTTACCATTCTTTTTTATTTTTAAGATTTTATTATTTTTAAGTATCTCTACATCCAACGTGGAGCTTAAACTCAGAACCCTGAGATCAAGAGTCCCATGCTCTACTGACTGAACCACCCAGGCACCCCCAAATTTTACTATTCTAATAACTAGAATTTAATTTTGGCTAGAAGTGATACTAGAAAGGAAATTAAAGGCAATACTTCTGAGATTTCAACGTATATTGTAATATTTACTGCAGATTGTATTGTACACACCCTTTAACGAGTTTATGGTGTTCCCTTCCTCTGGTGACTAAAAGTTTTTTATCACGATTGAACTTATATTTTATCAAATGGCCCTTTTATTCTTAATAAATTTTTCCTTACTTTGTTTCATATTGATATACTGTCATTAGCTTTCTACTGGTTCACTCTTAGCTAACATATTTTACATGTTTTTACTTCCAAACTTCCTAGGTCCTTATGTTTTAAGCATGTCTCTCATAAACAGCTTACAGTTTTTTTTTTAATTTTAGGAGTTTATTTTTGTTTTAGTGGTTTTAATCCAAACAGATAATCTGTCTTTCAACCGGCAAGCTTAACTCATTTACATTCCCTAAGATGTTGTTCATTTACTTGTGTCTTCTTTCCATCTTCTCAAAATATTTTTCTATTGTTTCTTCAAACTACTTGTACATATATTTGCATAGAAAAAATTATTTGTTCATATATAGGAAAATTATGCATTTCTTTTTTTTTAATTTTTTTTTTAAGATTTTATTTATTTAATTGACAGAAAGAGAGAGAGAGACAGAGAGAGAGGGAACACAAGCGGGGGGAGTGGGAGAGGGAGAAGCAGGCTTCCCGCGGAGCAGGGAGCCCGATGCGGGGCTCGATCCCAGGACCTGGGATCATGACCTGAGCCGAAGGCAGTCAGTTAACCAACTGAGCCACCCAGGCGCCCCAAAATTATGCATTTCTTTTCACTATTTTTTACCTGCTACCTTACTAAATTGTTGTACAAAACAGTTTCTTTAGGTGATTTCTTAGGTTTCTAGATATATAATAATATCTGCAATTAGTCTCCCTTTCCTTTTCAATTTTTATGTTTATTTATTTATTCTTCTCTTGACTCCAGTAAAATGTTAAATAATAATGGCAATAATGGACAACACTGTCTTATTCTTTTAAATTTTAGCCATTCGTGTGGGTACATATTTGAAACCTAAACCCAAGTAAAGTCAGGTCAATAGTTATAAATCCTCAGGAAAGTATTTTGTTTTTTTTTTTAAAGATTTTATTTATTTGACAGAGAGAGACACAGTGAGAGAGGGAACACAAGCAGGGGGAGTGGGAGAGGGAGAAGCAGGCTTCCCGCAGAGCAGGGAGCCCGATGTGAGGCTCCATCCCAGGACGCTGGGATCATGACCTGAGCCGAAGGCAGATGCTTAATGACTGAGCCACCCAGGCGCCCTGTTAGGAAAGTATTTTTCTCATACCCAGAGCCAGGTTGAGATACAAAAGCTTCCTTATCACCTACCTGCTTGTACTTGTGTATAAATTTTTTTCTTTTTCTTTATTTTCCTTTTCTTCCTTCTCCTTCTTCGTCTTCTTTTGAGATATAATTGCCATAGAACATTATATTAGTTCCAGGTGTCCAGGATAATGATTTGCTATATGTATATATTACAAAATGATCACCACAGTAAGTCTAGTTAACATCCATCACCACATAGGTACAATTGATGCATGCATTTCTCATTTACTCTTCACCAGTGTAAATTAATCCTCATATTTTAAAAATTACATGTGAAGGAAATGCAGTAGGCTAAATAATGGCTTCCTAAAGATGTCCCTGTCCTGATCCACAGAACGTGTACATACGTTAATTTATGTGGTAAAATTATTGCAGAAATGATTAAGAACAGTGGATTCTGGATTCCAGGTGAGCCCAATGTAATCACAAAGGTCCTTCCTTATAAGAAGGAAGAGGATCCAACTCATTAGTAGATATGAAGACAGAAGCTGAGTGCAGTGGATGAAGAGGCCACGAACCAAGAAATGAAGGCAATCTTGAGGATGAAATAGGTGAGGAAAGAGATCTCTCCCTAGAGGCTCCCATGCCTGTCAGCATCCTTGATGTTAGCCCAATGAAATTTACTTGTCTTTGGACTTCTGGAAGGGTAAGGTAATAAATCTGTGCTCTGTTAAGCCACTAAATTTGTGCTAATTTGTTATGCCAGCAAAAGGAAACTAATACAGGAAGACAGAACTTTTAGGAGGTGAGTGCAGTAAACCACTGGTTCTCGATTTGGGCTCTACCTTCCAGTGACCAATTCATGAAATCTTCTATGGGAGCAGGTTATTTTGAATATGTTCCTCAAGTGCCTCCAATACACATTTGAGTAAAAGCTTTTGATAGGTAAATGAGAGCTCAGCACTCTCTCTTAAAATTTCATGCAGGACATAGAACTTCCAGGCAAAAACAACATTCCACTGCATGCGTCTCCCTGATTATTTATAACTTCCCCTACCAACTGCCATTAAACATTGTAACTAAGTATACTGAAGAGAAAGTCAAAATCCTAAAAAGTGCAATTTTACAAAGAGGTTTTTACCACTTCGTAGATTTACCTCTTCATAGATCACAGATGGAGGCACATTGCCAATGCAGGTTTCCCCCCACTTTTTGTGTTTGCATTAGGCCACTTGGCTTTTATAAAAGACCCAACATCAGTACTTGTTTTCACTAACTGAAAGAAATCAGAAAAGGATTTTCACTTTTATGATGAAAGGTGAAAAGCGAAAATAGCATTGTTTTGCAGCGAGCTGTGATTGAACAGGTGCACACCCCATGCAGCTAGAGAGCTCCCCAAGTTCCTTCCCCAGGGATCACACAGCAGCTCACCATCAAGTGCTATAGATTTGAACTGCGTCTGTGAGCATCTGTGCTTTATCACAATGTATTTTGTGCATCCTTTAGCAAGGTGTGTCCTAAGGTATCAAATAAGCCTAAGAGAGGTTATTTTTGGGGGTTGGGGAATGCTCAAAATCTTTTGCATATAAATTAATAGTTATTGTTTCTATGTCGCTCATAGGAATATGCTATTTTTGAATAGTGGGGGAAACGTGTATTCTTTAAGACTTTTTGACTTTGCATTTTATCTTTTGTACATATCTAAAACTCTCACTTAGTCTTTTTGTATATGTTTTTTGATATTTAATTACGAAAAAACAAAGCCCCCCTATCTGTATAGGTCGTTCTATAGGTCGTTCTCCACCTCTGTATATCTCAAAGTCCTTATGAATCCATTCATTCTTCCTTTATTAGATCACTTACTCACTTGGACTCAACGAAATCACTGAATGTTTAGCAAGTGCAAGACTCCCCTCTACACATTCTTTGTACTTGTGGAGATAAACAGACAAATAAGAACTAGTCCTTACCATCAAGAAACTTAATTCCTGAATGATTTATCAGCAATTTTTAAATACTTTTATAGCTGCACCTTTTACATGAGATTACAATTGTTTATCTCTGTGTCTCTCCTAAGACAGCTCTTGTGGATAAGGAGCAGGTCATATTCACCTTTATAACTGTGGCATTCAATAAATATGTGCTTTCATATGTTCCTGATTGAATGAATGAACCTAAAAGGAGACTAAGGTAAACACACAGAAAATCCACTCTACACATCAAAGAGAATATGGAAAATCATATTTAATTGGGAGGATTTACCAGATGGAGATGGTGGATATGGCAGCGTCAGGGCTGTAAGGTCACTAACCTTTTTTTTTTTTTTCCAGCTGAACACAAAGGAAGACAGTATTTTCTAGCCTTCTCAATCTTGATGGGGAGATGTGAGGCCATCTGGAGTCATGTGACTAGTTATGGCCCATGGGACATGAGTCAAAGGAATAGGCTACTCCCAGGCTCAGCCCCTGAAGTCAGTCTCCACTTAGATTTTCTGCTCTTTTTTTTTTTCTTCTTCTTCTTTCTCAACAACCCTAGAGCTCACAAATCAAAGACACTGGTGTTATAAAATGGAAAGATCTGGGTACCTAAATGTCTGCATGTAGTCAACCGCCTCTCTCCCTACCACTTTCATTAAGAATTGTGATATAAGCAAACATTAAACTTTTATTGTATTGAGCTCTTGAAATGTTGGGATTGTTTATTAAAGTAGTTAGGCTCTGGCTCACACAGAAGAGGATGGCTTTCCAGGCAAAGGGAGCCATGGAAACAAAAGCAAAAAGGCAGGAAAAGATATTAAATGGTTACAAAGTTTAAGAAAGAAAAGAGTCTCTCTCTCTCTCTCAAAAAAAAAAAAAAAAAAAAGGAGGGGAGAGAAGGGCACCTGGGTGGCTCAGTTGGTTAAACGTCTGTCTTTGGCTCTGGTCATGATCTCAAGGTCCTGGGATCCAGTCCAGCGTCGGGCTCCCTGCTCAGCGGGGAGTATGCTTCTCCCTCTGCCCCTCCCCCCACTCATGCTCGCTCTCTTTCTCTCTCTCTCTCAAAAATAATTTTTTTAAAAAATCTTAAAAAAAAAAGAAAAAGAAAGAA